GGGTGGAACAGCATTGTGAGAGTGCAGTGGTTATCAAGAGACTGGGCTAGCCACCAGAGGACTGAGTTTATATAAAATGGATTCCCTGCTATGCTTCCATCCCTCATCCTGTCTGTCCTTCTTCACCACACTCCCATTGGGATCCTTGTCACTTTTCTTAGCAAACCATCTCTCACTAAGGCCATAATGTTCTCTAGGTTGTTAAACACTCAGATATTTTCCAGACTTTTCTTCTTTATTTGATACAAGTCCTGATTCTCCTGTTCACTCTCTGGACCTTTGTTCCTTGTCCATTCACAGGTGGAATAGAGCAGGATAGAAAGAGAGGACAAATTTGAAGGATATGAGAAGGAAAAGAGCCCTTTACTCTATCCTGAGTCTGGTTCAAATCTCTTGATAGCTGAGACTCAAGAATTGCAGCACAATTAACATTTGCTATGAAGGCTGCCAATACAGAGACTGCATCCTTTTATGTAGAGATATTATCAGTGAGAATGTTAAAACAGCAATAAGCCAGGCTCCAGGCCTGAGTAAGGGTGACCTTGAGTATGGCTTCCTTCTTCCCTCAGATATTTTCTAAGAATCCCACAAACAAGACTGTTAACTCTTGTTGACAGTGAAAATATCCTAGCTTCCCTTACAACTCTTGTCATCAGAGTGGTACCTTATCAGCTATAATCCTGTCTGTGCACCATAGAAAGCACCCTGTAATCTCCTTTAAATTCCTTAGCAACCCTTTGAAGATCACTTCAAACCCCAGCAAAGTTCTCTGCATGGTCATCATAATACAATGGAACATGACTTTTTTGAGATGCCCATATCTACATGTCTCTCTACTTACTAGCCCCAGAGCTTAAATTTGTTACTCACAAACAAACAAACAAACAAACAAACAAACAAACAAACCCCTTTAATAAACTCCAGCTCTACTCCATATTGTTTTGTCCATCTTCCAAGTAAATTAGAGGTAGGAACTTGAGGTGTGTGTGTGTTCAGGTATCATTTCTCAGGGGCCATTCACCATGTCTGAGACAGGAACTCTCACTGCCTCAGAGCTTGTCAAGTAGGCAAGGCTAACTGGCTAAAAACCCCGGGATCTGCCTGTCTCTGCCTCCCCAGTTCTGGGATTACGAAGGCGTGCTACCGTGCTCTGCTATTTATGTGTGTGCAGGGAACTAGGAGAGCTCTTTACCAACTGAGTTATTTACTCAGCCTGGTCCAGGCACTTCCTGTGAATCAACTCTCTCAGGTTTGCAGGCTAAGGCAGTTCTTGGGATGTGGCACCACTCAGCTAGTGAAATAGAATCTACATTGTCTTATTTACAGATTGAGAGATTCGGCCTTGCGTGAGGAGATGGCTCAGCTGGCAAAGTACCTGCTGCACAAGCATAAGGACCTGAACATGGATGTACCTTCATTAAAAAAAAAAATAGAAAGCTGGGAGTGATGGCATGTACCCAGTACCGGGAGGCAGGAGGTGAAGGCTTCAGGGAGGGAGACAGGTGGATCTGCAGAGCTGTATACTTTAACCAACTGATGAGTCGGGGGTTCAGTAAGAGACACTGCAATCATGCATGTGCAGGCAGCATTAATAAGAGTCACTGGGTTAAAAAAAAAAAAGAGGGCATGAAATTGGGAAGAAAAGTGATCCTGGAGAGAGGTAAGAGGGGGAATGGAGGATGGATTTGATCAAAACACATTATATACATCTATGAAATTCTCAAACGATTAAAACAATCAAGGTAGAGAGGCATAAAAGATGTCAATGTCTGGTCTCACATGAACGCACACTTACCACACACACACATTCACTCACTCACAAGATAATCTCACATATAGGTCACAAGCTACAGACAGCTGCTGTCAACCCAGAGAACGCTAGAAGTGAAGGAGAGAAAAGAATTTTACCAAAGCAGTTTTCACAGCCCCAATTTAGCTACTCACAGGGAGCCAGACCTTAGGCCTCTCACCAATGCTCCTGAGTTATTACCAACACTTTCCAGTTGACAAAATTATTTTTTACCCTTATGTTTTACAGGTAAAGCAATAAAAATTATTGTCAAGGGTGTTATTCCAATTTTTAACGACTAATAGAGTGATGCTGTTTGATGGAGGATTCGAAACAGAATGTACTTCCCACCACAGGCAAGGCCTCTTTATTTATTACCTCTGGGCTTTATGGTTACCATAGCAATAAGACTCACATTCAACTAGTTGATTACCATTTTAGCAACTAATGGAACCAATTTTTTTTTGTTTGTTTTTAAGTCTTAGAATACAATGTTGCCCTATCAACAGTATTTTTAATATCCTTAAACCTTACCTTGAAGGACCATTAGTGCAGAGTTCTCCAGATCAAAGATTGCCCATCATCTTTTAGCCACTGGGTCTTTTTGTCTCTTACTCCAAGATCTGAATTTGACGGGGTTTGTGAGGGCATGCATTCATTACAGAGATACTTGGGGAGCCAGCCTGGAGCTGGAGCATTGAGGAAAGTCAGAAACAAACAAGACTCTGGTTTTAATTGGGTTACTTGGTTTGTTGATGTCTAGTTTCTTGAGTTCTTTATATATCTCGGATATTAGACCTGTGCTGGATGTAAGGCTGGTGAAGATCTTTTTTTCTATCTGTAGGCTGCCATTTTGTCCTTATTGACAATGTACTTTGCCTTACAGAAGCTTTTCAGTTTCATGAGGTTCTGTTTATTGTTGATATTAGTGCCTGAACTGTTGGTGTTCTGTTCAGGAAGTTGTCTCCTGTGTCAATTTGTTCAAGGCTCTTCTCCACTTTCCCCTCTACCAGATTCAGTGTTTTTGGTTTTATGTTGAGGTTTTTGATCCACTTGGACTTAATTTTGTTATGGGTGATAAATATGGATCTATTTGCACTCTTCTACATGCAGGCATTCAGTTAGACCAGTGCTAGTTATTGAAAATGTTCTTTTTGATTGTGTATATTTCTGGATTTTTCATGAAAAATCAAGTGTGTGGATTGATGTCTGGGTCTTCAGTTATATTCCACTGGTCAGTGTGTCTGTTTTTATGCTAATATCTGATCTTTTTATTACTACAGCTCTGTAGTACAGCTTGAAATCAGTGATGGTGATAACTCTGAATGTTCTTTGATTATATAGAATTGTTTTAGCTATCTTGAATTTTTTTGTTTTTCCATATGATGTTGAGTATCGTTCTTTCAAGGTCTATAAAATATTATGTTCAGATCAAAAAAATGGGGCACAGATCTAAACAGAATTTTCAACAGAGGAATCTCAAGTGGCTGAGGCACACTTATACTCACTTATAAGTGGATATTAGCTATAAATTAAAGGATAATTATGCTATAACCCACAGATCCAGAGAGGCTAAGTAACAAGGAGGGCTTAAGGGAGGTTATAAGGGTCTTCCTGGGAAGGGAAAATTGAATAGATTTTGAAGGTAGACTGGGGTTGGGGTGGGGATGGGAACAGGGGGTATCAGGTGTGAGGGGTGGAGGGAGAGAATACTGGAATCGATGGCATTTGGAGCAAGGTAGAAATCTAGTACATTGTGAACTGTGGAATCTATAAGGGTGACATAGTGAAGACTCCTAGTAACGGGAGACGTGGAGCCTGGACTGACCATCCTCTGCAACTAGGCAAGGCCTCAAGTAGAGGGACTGGGACACCAACCCAGCACAAAACCTCCCACCTACAGTTTGTTATGCCTGCAAGATGTGCTGGGACCTGAGCATAGCAGAACCACCATTTGAGAGAGCAGAGAGACTTCTTCCAGCAACTGATGGGAACTGATGCAGAGTCTCACAGCCAAATATTAGGCAGAGCTCAGGGAGTCCTGCAGAGGAGGGGGAGGAAGGATTGGAGAAGCCAGAGGTATCAAGGATACCATGAGAGCATGGACCACAGAATCAACTGACCGGGACTCAAGCAGGCTCACAGATATCAGGGAGCCTGAAGGTACTCTGCATATGTTATGGCTGTATAACTCTGTGTTCTTATGAGGTTCCTAACAGTGGGAGTGGGGGCTGGCTCTGACTCCTTTGCCTACCTTTGGGACCATTTTTCTCCTACTGGATTCTTTGTAATATTCACATATTCTCCATGTGAGAATATGTACCTGGTCTTATTGTGGCTTATTGTTATGTTGTATTTGGTTGATGTTCCTGGAAGACCTGGTCTTTTCTGAGGAGAGGTGAAAGGGGTAGATCTGGGGGAATGAGGAAGTGGGGGAGGTGAGGTTGGGGAATGGGAAGGCAGAGGAATCTGCAGTCAGGATGTAATATATTAGGGAAAAATAAATAAAAAGGAAAAACAAAACAACAGCAATGACAATAAAAAAGACTGTGAAGCAGCTGAGGCCGCATGCTTTGGAGCCCGCCAAATGCAGACATGAGCCCTAGTGTTCACGGATGATCAGGGAAAACTGCATGACTATTCTAAGCTTTTTACATCTTCCAAAACTAATGTGAAACACACTGTTGCATGCCAGGGCGAGGATTCTAAATGAAGGTGATTACAACATGTGTGGGCAAATGCCTTGTGAAGAGGTGCTGTGTGCACTAACATTGCTGTGTTTGTTGATGCTGTTGTTGCAAACTCTGACTTTTCTTGCACAGAAATTGTTTGTTTATGTGTGTGAGTATAGCCACAAGTGTGCCATGGTATGTGTGTAAAGATCGGAGGACAACCTGTGGGTGGAGTCACCCATGGGCAGGTGGTCTAGGGTTCTATAAGAAAGCAGGCTGAGCAAGCCATGAAGAACAAGCCAGTAAGCAGCTCCCTCCATGGTCTCTGCTTTAGTTCCTGCCTCTAGGTTCCTGCCTTGAGTTTCTACCTTGGTTTCCCTCAGTAATGGGTTCTAACCTGTAGGATGTCATAAAGCCTTTTCTCCCCTTCCACCTTGTTTGAGACCGGGCCTCTTTTGTTACTTTGCTTTGGTGTATGTTAAGCTAACTGACCTATGAGTTCATTGGGGTTTTCCTGTCCCAGCCTCCCATCTCCTTATATGTGCTGGAATTATAGATGAGGTTCACTGCCACACCCAACCTTATGTGGATCCTGGGGATCTCAGTTGAAATCCTCAAGCTTGCGTGGCAACTATTTTACCCACTGAGTATCTCACAAGCACAAAGATGCTTCACTTCTAGCTACTGTAGGGCCTCGGGAAAGCCGTTTAACTTGACTGGTAGAGGTATGTTTTGGAAGGCTCTTGCAGGAGGTGACCTATGAGCTGAGTCTGGAAGGATGGGTGACATGGCTAATATGCTGGTTAGTATCTGTCAATATAAACTAGAGTCTCTTTGGAAGAGGGACCTTCAATTGAGAAATTACCTTCATCAGATTGGCCCGAGCAGTCAAGTCAGCAGAAAAGCAGGCTGAGTAATCCAGGAAGATCAAGTAAGTAAACAGTGTTTCTCCATGGTCTTTGTTTTAATTCCTGCCTTGAGCTTCTGGTCAGGCTTTGATGTTGTACTCTATCCTGTAAGATGTAGTGTCCCCTGGCCCCCAGTTTCTTTTGTCATAATGTTTTAGCACAGCAACAAAAAGCAAATTACAACAGAAATTGGTATCAGGAACATAACTATTTCTGTGAGAGACCTAACCATGTTGTTTTAGGCAAGACTGTGGACCTGAGACTGGAAAAGCCATTGAGTACCTGGAGATTAGTAAGCTGTTCTGTGGGACCTTGAAAGATAATGTTGATAGAGATGCAGATAATGGAGGATTGGCTCATATATTTGAATGTTTGGTTTACAGTGGTGGAATGTTAGAAAAGATGAGAAGGTAAGACCTTGTTGGAGTTGGTGTGTCACTTGGGTGGGTTTTGAGGTTTCAAAAGCCTATGCCAGGACCAATCTCTCTGTCTCTCTCTGTCACTTTCTCCATCTGTCTTGTAGATAAGATGTAAGTTCTTAGCTATTGCTCCAGCACCTGCCTCCACCACATCCATGGGCCCCACCATGATGGTTATGAACTAACTCTCTGAAAGTGTGAGGAAGCCCCTGCTTAAATGCTTCATTCATTAAGTTGCCTTGCCCAGAGGTCTCCTCACAGAAATAGAACAGTAACTATGACAGAGAGCAAGCCAGTAAGCAACATCCTCCACAGTTTTTTTGTTTAGGTTTCTCTTGTTAATGGACTCTAACCTGTAATAAGTAATAAACCCTTTTCTCCCTCTGTTGTTTTGGTCATGGTGGTTATCATAGCAACAAAGTAGAATAGCTAACTAAAGAGGAAAGAGGGTAGGAATTTCCAGGTTGGAGACCAGCAAGGACAAATATAGTACAGCCTGATAGAGTTTGTGCCCAAGGATGGGAGACTAGATCAACAGATAAGGGTCAGGGCATTCCCATGGGCTAAGTAACCCCAGCAGAGGCCTATGTGCCTTTGAGCAATTCCCTACACTCCTTCCTTCTCAATGTGTGAAAATCCATTAATCATAACACACGAAGCTTGGAGAGCCTGCAGGCTGTCTCTGGATGAAAGAAAGCATTATCATATTAGCTAATTACATGCATTAAAATAAATTAATTTAAAAACTGGCTTAATGAGATTAGCACACTTGTTGCTTAATTACCCATCACCACTGTGATAATAATAATGGATTTTGAACTTAGGACAGGTGACAAGTCTGACAGTAAACTATAGAATTGAGAACCACATGGGGTCATGTAGGACAGAGGATCTTGGAATATCTCTGTTCTTTCAAAACCCGGCAGTGAGAAAGGCCAGATGGGGCCACAGGGCATGTCCTCAGTTCTCTCTCAGGTGACTTTAGGTATCTGTAAGAGGGAGTAGACCATCTGGCCTTACTGGGCTTCATCAATACTGGAATTAGACACCTAAGTCTAGGTTCTCCTTAAAGTAATGCTTGAGTGAAAGCCTTTGTTCCCCACAGAAATTATCCAACTGGGATTTGACAAGGAGGTGCCATCCAGCTCTCTGAATTCCCTGCCTTACAGACACTGAATATCCTAGCCCACTGCAGCATCTTCACTGTTAGCAAAAGGATGATGGGTTTTTGTATTGGCCTTTCTTCTTTCCTATTTATACCCCTTATTTTCACTTTTTTCTTTTCAGTCCACATTCCCACATAAAAGGCCCATGTACAGACCCTTGGTAAAATCCAGGGTAAGCCACTGGA